ACTCTGCTAATGATAATTTCTTGTTGCGTGTCATCAATAATGACACAGCAAAGAAACAATATAATTCGGCTAGTCCTGTTCCATCTGACATATTTACGTTATTATTACTCTTTCGAGACCAATATTGATTAGTTTCCCTTGCAATCAACTCTACGAGCTCTTCAGAAAGTAAAAGTTGGAAAAAGTTCTAAGATTTTTGTGGATCTATTAATATTTCTTTTAATTCTTGAATCCGCTATCGCAAACTTATATATTTTGGGGACGAATGTCCATACTTCAGAGTTATTGTCATGGGTTTCAATCTGTTCAGCTTCTGATTCAGAAGTACTACATATAGCTCTTCTATTTCTGTGTCGTATTACATTAATTTGATTTTCATTATCTGAATCACTGTCTGAATCAGTTAAGCCATTAGAGGATGGAATTCTTTTCGAGCTTCTCTGTGACATTCTAATAAGGGAGATACAAAAAGATTTTATAAAACAAACTAAACAAAGCTTCAAGTAAAATTTTCAAATAAATGTTGCAAACCTTGAAAACTTAACAACTGCTATCCAATTTCTTCTAATGATTTAAGGAAGATTTCTTGTTACGCTGTACTTTTGTACAATACAAACACTTCACTCTCGAATAGAATACAGAAGAAACTTGTTTCGACGTACAGAATATATATATTTTTAAAATATACCTTTACTTGGATTAATTCAAGACGGTTGAATATTAGCCACTGACAGCTTGAAGGAGACTGAAACGTGATTCTTGCCCCGATTGCTTACAAACAATGCATGTTTATATTTCATTTGATATGAGATAAGTGTGATCGATGTGCAGTATGCGTAAAAATAAAAATATCGCGGGTCTCATGGTCAAGTGGTATCACGCTGACGTAGTCTATAGGCTCGTAGCGAAAGAGTTAAGTACTAAAGGCCATCAGACATTGTCAAAAGCGAGATGTCGAAGAGCAGGTATCGATGCTCGGAAGCATCAACCGTGCGCCGCAGCTCCACGATCGCGTCCTCAGTCGACATTCCGGGTGTGAATCCGAACTGTCGGGCGGAGATCCGTCCCGGGGCTAGTGAAGTCTGGCTCAGACGCGACTTGATGAGTTTTTGGAATAGCTTCTCTACCATGGAGAGGAGACAGATCGGCCTGTACGATTTCGGGTCCTTTTCGTCCTTCTCTTCGCCTTTCAGGAAGACTCTGAGAGAGCAAACTTTCCAAGCAGCAGGAAAGACGCCCTAGCGAAGGCGTTGAAGAGCCGCACCAGCTGAACCAGGATTACTTTCGCCGCAACCTTCAGCGCGCGCACTTCTATCATATCCGGCCCGGGTGCTTTATCATACTTAAATGTCTTAACACTTTACCGACCGCTAGCGGTTCAACAGCATACGCGTCCGACCGGCCGCTCAGTCGTAGATTCTCCCTTGCGCCGGCTGTTTTTCGGTCTAGACCATCGCATAGGAGTATCTGTGCGTTTCGTATGCTCAGATAGAATTGTCCGCTTTCTGTTATTATAGGATAATTAGATTTAATAAAATGTTTTATTTTCATGATATTAATGCTAAATTATTTTTATTTTATCTATTACAACGGCTTTCAGTTTAATAATTATGTAATAATATACCATAATCCATGTATTGACATACTTGAAATAAGAAATAATTAATATTTTTTCAAGGTATGATACCGTTCAAAACAGTTACCTTTATGTAATGGAACATTGCAAAATTTGGAACATTACAAAATTTGCAAACAAAACATGTTCTACTTCTTTTTTTTTTGAACAGCACAAACTTTACATTGTCTTTGGGGTTTCACACTTCGACCGCTAGTCACTATATTTACAAGTTTATGTTTTCTGAAATTCGAGAGTCTTCCAGGATTGTCTAATTTGGGTGCTCTCCTTGTGGGTGCAGAACTAGG